CAACCCACAGGTTGAGAACCGCTGATGTAAACAGATAAAAGATTGAAGTTGTCAAGGATTGTGTTTTGCTTGGACCTACAAGCAAAGAGCAATCAAGTGATGAAATAATGTACTGCATTGGGTAAATCTGCTGCATAAGACCTCTTTACTTTGAGATTACTTTGATGACTAAAGTTGGCCTGGTCCAAGTCTTGTTATTTTAAGTTAGCTCATATGCATGTGTAAGTTGGATATTGTGTTAGTCTGGATAGACTGTCCAGATAGACTTAACCTGCCTCTCTATTACTGCTTTTCTACCTCTTCCACTCAATAAGTGAAACCAGGTGGTCACCTAGCAAGCATTTCAGGCTGCCACAGGCCCCTTTAACATTTCAGTCCTAGAGAGTTTTCTTCATGGATCCAGATTTTTTTCAGCTTCTGACAAAAAACACTAGTTCAAGATTCAAAAGGCCAAAGAGTTCTTTTTTCTTCAATCTGTCAACAGCCCTTAGGCTGTCTCTTGGAATGCAAATGTCCTGAGTACTGTGTCCTAAACCATTTAAAGATTCAGACTTTAATGGCTGAAGGCAAGGTTTACAAACTCTCTATTTTCATTCTTCCCAATAATCATTTCTATCAATCATTATATCAACAATAATAAGCAGAAGAAATAAGTATAAGCAAAGTAGAATCAGATACTAAACTCAATTCTTAAAACAGTCAAGTTCAATCCTGATTTAGCTTATCTCAATGCTTATTTAAACTATTCTATTGATACAAAATATGGGATTAGGCCTCTGACAACATTGCCTCAAGCCAGGGCCAGGCCTCTGTCAGCCATTTTGACCTCAATCAGCCATTTTCCCTAACCAGCATGGTCTCTGGGAAATTCAAGGGGCAATTTGTACCCCTGAACTCAAAATATACATGAAAAACATTCACTTTTTGCCATTTCACACGGGCAGAATCAAAGACTACAACCAAACAAAATAATCAAAACTTTAATTTCCTATATTCTTTCCAGAAAACCCAGTGAACTGCATGGCCATATCTGACCTCTGGCTAGTCTAAGAAGACACAGGACCAGGAGGCAGATGTCAAATAAATATCCAATCTCCATCTTTATAATTTGTCTCTCTAGTACCCCGTTCTCAGTACCATAATGTGTTAGTCTGGATGGACTAGAGCAGCAGTTCTCAACCTGTGGGTCGAGACCCCTTTGGGGGTCAAATGACCCTTTCACAGAGGTAGCCTAAGACCATTGGAAAACATAAATATTTCACATGATATTATTACATATTGTTTTGTGATTAATCACTATGCTTTAATTATGTTTAATTATGGTCAATTTTGTAACAATGAACATATATCCTGCATATCAGATATTTACATTATGATTCATAACTGTAGCAAAATTACAGTTATGAAGTAGCAATGAAAATCATTTTATGGCTGAGGGTCACCTCAACATGAGGAACTATATTAAAGGGTCGCAGCATTAGGAAGGTTGAGAACCACTGGACTATAGAAATAAATCCAGGGTGACTCTTTGTGTATAATAAAGATCTTTATATAAAAGAGCAATTGAATATTGAGGAAACATCCCAACCCAGTCCAGATCAAGTCCATAAGTCCAATAGTAGTCCATATGTCTGAAACCAATCTATAAAGTCCTCTTCAGAGTCACGAGACACATGCAATGACACTGAATGCAGGCCATTGGGTGGAAAGTCTTGTGGATCTAGTGATGGTGTAAGCATCTCAGCGCTGGCTGGGGTCTCCACGTGGCTTCTCCAGCTCCAAGGCTCTGGCAACCATCAGCCTATCTCCATGTGGCTTGTCAACAAGAAAGTCTCGCAGGGACTGAGCATGTGCCCTGACTCCAATGAGCTATTTTTCTCCTTAGCGCCTCCAAATTAGGTCATCAAGCTGCAACCTGATTGACAGGCTAAACTCCACCCCTTTACTCTTATTCCCCACAAATTGACAACAGAGTATATAACTACCACAGATATTGAATAAGGAAAACAGAAGAACATGCAGTAGAACTGTGGTACTGGCAATGAATAATGAAAGTACCATGGAATGCCAAAGAACAAACCGGTCTGTCTTTAAAGAAGTACAACCAGAATTCTGCTAAGAAGCAAGGATGGAGAGATGTCCTCTCATGTGCTATGGACATATTATCAAGAGAGACCAGTCCCTGGAAAAGGACATCATGTTTGGGAAGGGGTAGGGGCAACAAAAAAGAAGACCCTCAATGAGATGGGTTGATACTATGGCTGCAATGATAGACTCATAACAATTCTGAAAATGGCACAGGACTGGGCAGTGTTTTTTGTTCTATTGTACATAGGATTGCTATGAGTAGGAACCAACTCGAAGGTACCTGAAAACATGAGTCAAAATCGACCAGACAGCAGTGGGTGTGAAGACATCCTTTAAATGAGAGTAGGGCAGAGGAGAGGGATTTTGAGCATTAATTCACTCTAAAATGTAAGACATCCCCCTAAGAAGAAACATTTAGCTTGAGACTTTAGAAATGAACAGATCTCTTCACAGTAAAATGCAGAGCGATAAGGTGTACAGGCTGTGGCAAATAGCAGTAGAAAGACCCACAGACAACAGTAACTTGGATCACGACTTACTAGTCAAGTGACTTCAAGTAAATGATTCAGTCTTTTTAAAAGTAGGATAATAGTATCTGTTTAAGAGCCCTGGTGGTATAGGGTTATTCATTAGTCTGCTAACTACACGACCAGCAATTTGGAACCACCAGCTACTCAACAGGAGAAAGATGAGGCTTTCTATTGGCACAAAGATTTAGTCTTGGAGACCTTGGGGGCCAATCCTATAGGGGTCACTGCAGTTGGAATCGACTCTCTGGCAATGAGTATCTGTCCTGCCAACTCTTATGACCCAAGGTTCTTACTTGCAAGCAAAAGACAGTTCTAGGCTGATTGAAAAGCAGAGAAGGAACTAGTTAGAGGATGTAAGTAGCGCACACATAATCCTGGAGAACTGGAGACAGACTAGAGGCTGCAAAGTCCAAAACGTGAGAACTGCAGGTTGTGACAACATGGTCTCTCTCAAAACGTGAGAACTGCAGGTTGTAACAACATGGTCACATGGATGCTGGGCATTGCTGCTGCACAACCTATACCACCCTTGAAACTAAATGTAGTTGCCACAGCTGTTAAACTTGAGTGGACGCCTCATGCTTCTATTTACCATTAGTTTCTTTTATACGTCTGGGGTGAGTGCATCAGATAAGACTTAAGGGTTTCTCAAGCAATGTATCCATGCCCTAATAACAAGGAGGACTAGGAAAAACAGTATCAGTCTTTTCAGTTTCTATAAGTTTAGCCCAGGGAGCCACTGGTGACACTGGTTATTCATTGAGCTACAATCCTTATTGTAGGCAGTTCGAAGTCACCAGCAGCTCAGTGGGATACAGATTGGTCTCCTACTCCCATAAACAATTACAATCTTGGTAAACCCACAGGAGCTCACTGTGAGTCAGCACTGACCTGATGGCTTGATGGCAGTGAGTCTGGGGTATTTTGCATAAGGATCCTTGGTGCTGTACTAGCTACGAGTTGGGCTGTGATCCTCATGGTCAGCAGCTCAAAACCACCAGCAGCTCGGTGGAATAAAGACTGAGCTTTCTACTCCCAAAAAGGGGTACAGCCTTGGAAACCCACAAGGACAATTCTACCCTGTCCTACCGGGTCACTGTGAGTCAGAATTGACTGGATGCCAGTTAAATGAGTGATAATGAAGCAAACAAACGGACAGAAAAAATAGACCCACAACTCTGAGAAAGCTTACCAAAATAAATGTCCCAAAGTACGCAAAGGGGCCATTAAGCATATTTTGAATCAAAGGAGATAATTACATGAAAATGTTTTATAAACTTGAAGGGACAATTCAACTATCATGCATTATTTCACTTATAATGTATTTAAAATTTGCATTTATTCTAAATAAATAGAAACTAATCCTGGTGTAATAAATATATGCAAGCTGGAAATAATAAAGTCAAATAATGCTAAAGATTCAAAATGTTTGGCGGTTATTACAAGTGTAATCACCTTCAACAATATGAAAGCTGGAAAAAATCATACAGCTAAAAGTTACTTTATTAGAGATAACATCCAAGATGAATCAACTCTTAAGTTCTTTATTAATTTATTAACAATTACTTGTAAATAATTATTTCAAAGAATACGTTTCACTTCACAGCCTTCCTTACGGACTTTGATCAAAAGAACTCGGAAACGTTCAGCTTCCAACAAAATAAGGAAGAACAGAAAGGATGGAGCCAGCACTGTATGGACACCTAAAGCAGTCTAACAGGAGGAAAAACTATAAAACTATACCGGGTCTGCCTCCCCAGGGAAGACTTCAAACAATTCTTACAATTTGAGGCAGCAGCTGTGTGGTTGAAGATAATAAAACAATACTGATCAAGTGAATTATGCAGCCGTGCTACAGCGTCTTGCAACGCAAAAAGAAGTTGCTATGATATTTAGAAAACTAAAGTTTTCAATGAAAGGGTTCGACTCCGTTTTCTACGCAACCGCCGTACTTCATTAGGTTCAGGAAAGCATCCCGGGGTCAAGAAGCCCTGGTGGTGTCGTGGAATGAAGTTTTCTCCTTCCACAAAGATTTACACCCACGGAGGCACCTCAACCTAGTTCTACGCGGTCGTTCCGGATGGAGACGTCCAGAAACAAAAGTTACAGGCCAAATCTCGCGAGAACTTTGCGCTCGCTCCTCCCGGAAAGCCTGGGAGCTGGAGGCCAACGATTGGTTGAATCCGGAAGAGGAGCCCCTCCCCCGCCCCTCCGTTGCTAGGATACGCGGCAGCGCTTGGTGCTGAGTCCAGAGGGCCCTAGAAGTTTGTGCGCGAGGGAGCGGGCAGTAGCGAGTGGACGATCGGTGGGCGCGGCCGGCCCAGAGACTTCGTGGTGGTGGCGGCCGCGGAGAGAAGTTAGGGCGCCCCGAAAGCCTAGCGATCGCCCTCCTTCCGCGCCTGCGGAGGTGAGAAATCCCTGCTTCCATCCCTCCCTCCCTCTCTCCCTCTGGTGCAGTCTTACCTTGGAGATGCTGATGGCTCCAAACCAAACAGACTCGGAGAGTCTAGGCCTTTAGCTGTAATCCCCTTGCCCCTCACCAGGCCCGCGAGGTTCCCAACATCTGTTGTCAGGCATGAGATGAGCAGAGTCCCCGGTCAAACCATTCCCGGCAGAGAGTCACCAAGCCTCTATTAAAGGCGACAATCTCAAAGCCCCAGAAATTTAACTCAAAGTGGTGGGCTTGTGTCTGTTGACCACAGTGCAAGAACACTTGGCAACTTTCCAGTCTACAGATGTGAGACTGACTGGCCTAGGGAGCATAATGACAATAATGGTGATAATTATTCTTATGAGGCGGGTGCTTTGCATCTGGGTGCTTTGCATCTGTCTTCTTCGCAGGAGCTCTCCACGGCAGGGCTCTTAGCTGGGCTTCATTTTACAGATAAAGGAATGAGACCCAGGGCGGAGAGCGGGGGGTGGGGGGTGGGGTGGGGTGGGGTGCCCTTCAAGGTGCCAAGAATCATAGCAGCTGGTTACTCACAGAGTTGGAGATCTCATGCTGATCTTTCTGAACCCAAAGGCCAGGCTGCTTCTCTGTTAGTGGACAGTCCGAGTTAGAAGTACTTATTAGTAGGACACTCCCCACCCCACCCCCTTCCTTCCCCTGGGACTGGTATATGCTAATCTTTACTAAAATCGTGTCATTTCTATATATTGTACGTTTAAAAAAAATTATCAGGAAAGCCAAATCCGCTCATAACAAAAGTTTATTGAATCAACTTCCATTTGACAAGAAAATATAATCGGGGAATTCATTGAAATGGGAAGATTGTAAGTTTGATGTGAGCCTATTCCATGTAATAATTGGATATCGAAATAGAAGTCTTCAGTAAACAGTTGAAAATTTTAGATATGACCCTCAGCTTAAAGGACAAAACTATAGATATTGATTTCTGCATCATCAGCAAGTAAGGATGTAAGATGGTAGAAAAAAATAGAAGCAATTAACAGATATGAAACTATTTCATGAAATAATGTTATAGTGGTTGTACATTGGGCTGCGATCCACACAGTCAGCAGTTCATCCCTTCCCTGGGAGAACCACCATCCCCTCCCCTGGAGAAAGACAGTGCTTTCTACTCTCATAAAGAGTTACAGTCTCAGAAACCCACAGGGCAGTTCTACCCTGCCCTATAGTGTCCCTATGAGTGGGCATTCACTCGATGGCAATGAGTTTGGTTTTATGTGTAGTGAAGGAGCCCTAATGGCACAATGAGTTATTATGTGTGGGGCTGCTAACAGCAAGGTCAGCAGTTAGAAACTGTTAACTACTCCTAGGGAGACATGAAGTTTTCTACTCCTGTAAAGATTTGCAGTCTTGGAAACTCACCATGGCAGTTCTGCTCTGTCTCACAGGGTTGCTATGAGCTGAAACCGATTCAATGGCAGGGGTTTTGGATTTGGGTTTTGCATAGTAAACTCTCTTATATTTCCTATTCCATTTCATGTTTAAAGCATATTAGTCCCAATCTGCCAGTTTGTTTTCGCAATCAACAATTTAAAATAAGGCTACACCGAATTATCAACAAAACTTTAAATAATGTATACTTAATGAATAAAGGAGGGTCTGATAAATGGGCATGAGAGAATTAAGGAAGTGATTAAAGGGAGGTATACTGGGAATAAACATGACAAAATGGGTAGAAGGAGAGGCAAGAAGGTCACAGAGTAGTGAAGATTTTTCAGATGGGAACAATCCCAAATGATGCAAACTCCTGATCCTGTCTAGGGCTGGAAGTAACTGAAATAAGAGTTGAGATGATTTCTAAAATTGAAGAAGGGAACTGTGAAGATCGAATGGGATGTGCTGGATCTCATACCCTCATTGAAGTTATAGAGCAGTGGTTCTCAACCTTCCTCATGCCCTGACCCTGTAATACAGCTCCTCAGGTTGTGGTGACCCCCAACTATAAATTATTTTTGTTGCTACTTCATCACTGTAATTTTGCTACTGTTATGAATTGGGCGACCCTGGTGAAAGGGTTGTTCGACCCCCAAAGGGGTCTCAACCCACAGGTTGAGAACAGCTGTTATAGAGGATAATGGTAGAGCCAGAACTAGGCACAAAAGGCCTAAGTAAGGGGGAAGGGGGAGAGTGAGAGGTGTCCAGAGAGACACAGGAAAGATCCAAGGCAATACGGTTGTGTTCATTGGCCTCGAGAGAAGAGTGCCCCATTTATTTAGTTTATTTATTTATCTTAAAGACTATCTATTGTTTCCAAACAGTGGTTACTGTGAAAAAACAATGGCCAGTAATCATAAACCGCCAATACCTCGCCCTGTTTCTCGAGGTGGAATTGGGTTGACAGGAAGACCTCTTTCTGGAATACGACCCCCATCAGGAAATGTTCGAGTGGCAACTGGAGTAAGTTTCAGACCAGAGTAATGCTTGTGTCTATATTCTGATAAAAGCTGGACATCTTTCCTATATGAATAAGTGATTCTCTCCTGTTCCTTTGTTCCACTAGTCTATCATTATACGTGCCTATGTCTGTATGTGTGTTGAAACACCTAGAAGTGTGATTGTTGAATAATGTCTGAGTGCCACTGTTGAGGAAAGATGCCTGTACTTTCTGATATTAAAGCTTATTTTACAGATACAGAAATTTAAATAGTAGAGTGGATTAGGACCAGGATCAAATGAAATGAAATAATCCCAAACTAAAGTATTTGCATGGAAGAAAGATAAGGTTTTCTACTGCCACAAAGGACTGCAGTCTTGAAAATCCACAGAGACAGTTCTAGCCTGTTCTGTCCGGTTGCTAGGAGTCAGAATCAACTCAGTTGCAGTGCTTTGGTTTGGAAGTCTATGGAAGTATACAAAGTATATGCATTGGGCTGACATCCACAAGGATCATATGGTTAAAGTGGCATTTAAGATTAGCTGGCAAAGAATGGAGCATTCAATAGTTCATTCAAATATTCTAATTCAACTATCTGAAAAAGAAAAAAAGTCTTCCTTTTACCTTTTATCTAAATAAACTCTAGATATTGATACATTTTAATTGAAGTCATAAGTATACCTTCCTTAAATACTCCATCCATCTAAAAACGGTTGTTTTAATGAGACAGCATTCCTGTAAACCTGTTTCAAAGCTTTAGAGATTTGGGAAGATGTCCACTTGATTTGATTAAAATTTTTTTATCAGCTCTGACTTCGAAATCAGCTTTTCCTGTGGCATAAGAAGTGGCCTTTCTTTGAAGGCATGCTATCTAGCAGAAATTTGTCTGCAGCCATCTATGATCTCTGAGACATGTTTACACATGTTTGGCTTGGCATAAGCCTGGACATTGTGTGAACCGAAGCCCTAGTATTTTACTGACCTTTGTATTTAACTTGTATCTAAAACTTGTAAAAGCCAAAAGGAAATAAAATGCAAACCAGTTTTTAGTGGATTCTTACTTTTGGAAAAACTTGGCGGCCCCAAGTTTTTCGGAGAAGAAATGTGCTTTACGGATTTGTATCAGTGGCTGTGATCTTTGAAAGGCAATCCGTCCCTATGAGGTGCCATTGGGTAGATCAAGCCACCAAACTTTGGGTTAGTAGCTTGGTGCTTAACTGTTTGTGCCCAATTTAAAATTTCTTCCACATACTTAAAATACTACTCTGCTGTTTGACTGAAAGAGGAAGAATGATTAAAGGAGAAAGAAAGATTGACAAATTTGTAGAAGCTGTGTGTTATTTGTATAAAATTACAGTGTATCTGTTTCCCCAAATAAGCATTTTCTTATTTGAAAAATAATATATACTCATTATAATAATGCTGAAAAAATTGTATAAGACAAAATAAAAGTAAGCTCTCCTGTTAACGTGGAAATTATTCCACTGCCATCCCGGCCCAGCCTGACTTAGCATCCTACTAAAGCTGTAAAGCTTCACAGCAGCAGGTGAATAATATCATGTGGAGATAACCATTGTTCTTGTATTTTTTTAACCATGATAGAATCAGAACTACTGTTTTTCAGACTGCTTTTCTATTCATTGCAACTTGTTTAACCCTTTACTATGGTGGTCATTTATTTTCTTTCCTGTTTATGGTACAATATTGAGATTTAGATTTATTGTCCATGTGTAGGACTTTGAAATGTAAAGGAATGTATTACATAATATCCATAGGACTTACAGTGGCAAAGAATTTTATTATTTACCATTATAGAAATTCAAAGTACAAGGAGCACTTAAATAAATTGTTAAATTTCAGTTTCATTTTTAAAATTCTTAAGTTAAATTTAAATTTTTTTCATTTTTCATAGTGGATGTGGAGTGTTATTGCTATTTACTGAGAGAGAACTCTTCTTGTCATTTAGATGCCTCCTGGAACAGCCAGGCCAGGCTCTCGCAGTGGTCCTGGGGGGACAGGAGGAGTTCTATCTTCTCAAATTAAAGTTGCAGACCGCCCTGTAACCCAGCAAGGTTTGAGTGGAATGAAAACCGGAATGAAAGGTATCTAGTTTAAGAAAATGGATATATTGGCTATAAGAGGGATTAACTTGTGAATCAGAATTAGCTTGTGAAATTCTTATTCCTTGAGTCACAAATTTGGGAGGGTAAGAATGAATGACTGTGAAAATTCCCTATGAGGAATTCAGTGTTGATCTGCACTCTCCAGTATGATAACAAGTAGTCAGTCATACTTGCTACTTAAATTTAAATGAATGAAAATGAAATACAATCCGTATTCCTTTCCCTACTGGCAATAGCCGCATATCAAAGTGCTCACGTGGCTCAAGTGCTCAAGTTCACCTGGGGCTCCTTCATTAGGCAGAGCTGCTATAGACTATTTCCATCATTGCAGAAAGTTCTTTTGCCAGGATAGGCCTACTTTGGACTCCTCTATCCCAGTTGAGGAGGCTTGGCTCAGGTGCTAACCAAAGGGTTTCCAGTTTGAACTCACCAACTACTTCATGTGGAGATAATGTGGCAGTCTGCTTCAGAAAGCTTTCCGTCTTTGGAAGCTCTCTGGAGCACTTCTACTCGGTCTTAAAGGGTGGTTATGAGCTGTAATTGACTTGGTGGAAGAGGGTTTAAGGTTCTTTTGAATACCCTGTATCCTTTATGTTTCTGCTGTTTCCTACGACACACTAATTTACTTTTCCATTTATTTTTTTAATCGTTTTATTAGGGGATCATATAACTCTTATCACAATCCATACATACATCAATTGTGTAAAGCACATTTGTACATTCATTGCCTTCATCATTCTCAAAACATTTGCTCTCCAACTAAGCCCCTGGCAGCAGCTCCTCATTTTCCCCCCTCCCTCCCTGCTCCCCCCTCCCTCATGAACCCTTGATAATTTATAAATTATTATTTTGTCATATCTTGCCCTGTCTGACATCTCCCATCACCCACTTTTCTGTTGTCTATCCCCCAGGGAGGAGGTCCCATGTAGATCCTTGTAATCGGTTCCCCCTTTCTACCCCACCTTCCCTTTACCCTCCCGGTATCGCCACTCACCCCACTGGTCCTGAAGGGATCATCCGCCCTGGATTCCCTGTGTTTCCAGTTCCTATCTGTACCAGTGTATATCCTCTGTTCTAGCCATATTCGTAAGGTAGAATTGGGATCATGATAGTGGGGGAGGAGGAAGCATTTAGGAATTAGAGGAAAGTTGTATGTTTCATTGTTGCTACACTGCACCCTGACTGGCTCGTCTCCTCCCTGAGACTCTTCTGGGATGTCTAGTGGCCTACCGATGAGCTTTGGGTCTCCACTCCGCACTCCCCCCCTCATTCACTATGATACGACTTTTTGTTCTGATGATGCCTGATACCTGATCCCTTCGACACCTTGTGATCGCACAGGGTGGTATGCTTCTTCCATGTGGGCTTTGTTGCTTCTGAGCCACATGGCCACTTGTTTACCTTACTTTTCCATTTCAGTGTTTCTTTTTTATTGCTTTTAAAAAAAGTTATTCATGAGGACTGCATTGAGAGATGTAAAGTGTAATTCTTCTTGTACTTTGGATATGCTGTTTGAGTGGCATTTTCAAATCAAGTAATACACTTAACACTTTTTGCATTTTTCTTTTTAGGTCCTCACAGACAAATATTAGACAAATCTTATTATCTTGGACTTCTTAGGTATGTTAAATACACATATATTTAGGATTGATCATGAATATTTATCTTCAGTACATGTTAAGATAATTAGGTGTCTGTTGATTTCTAAGGATTATTTTGCATTCTAACATAATTTGTGTACATTCTGAAATAAATGTGATCATAAAATTCAGCTAGGATTCATCACTTTATATATTTGCACATATGTGAAGTATGTATTTTAGCTTAACATGTTTCAGTCTAATGTTAATAATCTTTTATGATTTTCTCACGAATAATCAATGGTTATATCTAATAAGAAAGAAAAATGAAGTCCTTATCTCTGACATATTAATCAGTACAGAGTTTTATTTGTACTAGTACAGTGAATGTGGCCTCATTTTAATTAGTGTATACGTGCTGTTAGGTATCTGTAGGTGTTGTGGTTCTAAACTAAGAGCTTTTTCTCATGCTCTCCATACCTTCTTTTTGAAGATGTTCTACTGTTCGAGCTCCATTTTGTCATTTCACTTTATTTTCTTCTTCGTTCATCATTTATGTCTTATTTCCATTTCCTTTAAGCCAACCTTCTATCATGACCTGGAAGCCTTGTTTTCTGTTTTACTTCTTGATTCTTTCCTATCATAATTATCTAGATCCTTTTGATCCTCAAGCTTGTAGACGGCAATAAAAAGAAGTAGAGGCCTCTCCCTACATCTTTCCTTAAGGATTTACAGCTTAGAAACACTGTGTTACTTTTGTTAAGTGCTGTTAAGTTAGTTCTGAATTACAGCAACTTTTTATACAACAAAACAATAAACGTCTCAGTCCTGTGCCATCCTCAAAATTGTTATATTTCTGTCCATTGTTGCAGCTGTTGTGTCAATTCACCTCATGGAGGGTCTTCTCTTTCTCCGACCCTCTACTTTACTATGCTTGATGTCCTTTACTGGGAACTAATCTCTCCTGATAACTCGTCCAAAATGCCCGCTTCTAAGTAGCGTTCTGGCAATACTTCCTCCAAGACAGGTTTGCTTGTTCTTCTGGCACTTTGTGGTTCTCTGTGGTCTTTCTTTTTTTAAGTCTCTGTCTTCTTTCTTATCCGTTGCCCACCTTTCACAAGCATATTTGACAGTTGAAAATCCCAGGGACTTCAGTTCTTGTGTTAGTCTGGGTTGACTAGAGAAACAAACCCAGATACACTCATATGTGTGAGAGAGAGCTTTATATCAAAGAGTAATTGTATATTGGGAAAACATTCCAGACCAGTCCACATCAAGTCCAATATTATTTCCAAATCCAATACTAGTCCAAAACCCTTCTCCGGATTCATACAGTCACATACAGTGATGCAAAATCCAGGAAGGTCACAAGCTGGTGGATCCAGTGGTGGTGGACACATCTCCTGGTGTCTGGCAGGCCTCAGGCAGCTCTCCAAGTTGTTTGTCAACAGGAAGACGAAGGTAGAGAGAGAGGGGGGAAGTTCCCAGAATCCTTAGGAGAAGGGCATGCCCACAAGGAGGCATTATCAGGCTGTGACCTGATTGACAGGCTAGACTCCATCTCTTCACTCTTAATGCCCTCAAGTTGACACGAGATTATGTAAGCACCCAGTCCTCAAAGTGCCATCTTTGCTCTTTAGCACTTTTTAGAGGTCTTATGCAGCAGATTTGCCTAATAAAATAAGTGACTTGATATCTTGACTGCTGCGTCAAAAATAAAAACCCCTAAGGGACTGTTCTCATCTGCCTTATAGGGTTTAATAGCATCAGTGGCTAGCATCTTGAGATGAGGCTGTCTTTTTGATGGAAAGAAGGAAAGGTGATAAAGTTTTTCCTTTGCTATTCATTGCATTGCCTTTCTTATTTTAAAGAGTAGTTTTAGCTGCTTGTGTAATTGACTCGTAGGTAGTGGCTCTCAACTAGAGATGATTTTGCCCACCAGGGAACATTTGGTAATTTCTGGAAACATTTTTTTATTGTCATCATGGGTACTGGAGAGAGAGACTTTTATACACAGATCAAGGATGCTGCTAAATATTGGGCAGTGTGTAGCATAGCCCCCATTACAATAACTAGTGACTAAAAATACAACTACTGTCACTATTCAGAAATACTAACCTCAAACATAGCAGCACCCGTGAGGCTGAAGATTCAGCATGTGCTTCTGTTGATGAATTGCACCAGCTTAACCAGGCTCTCATTCTGGTCCTGTCCCATCTCTCTTAATCATTAATCGGTGGCAGTATCTAATGGCAGTGGAGTAGAATAGGATGAGAATCACCTTTGTCTTGATGAATAAGCCACTGATTATTTTTTCTAGTGAATTTTCATAAAACCACTTAAATTATTATTATATATGCCTGAAGGTTTAAGCTTTCTTTAAAAAAGCATTTTTTTTGATTGAAAGTATTGTTTACTTTGTTATTCCTTTTCACTTAGAAGTAAAATAAGTGAACTCACAACAGAAATCAATAAACTTCAGAAAGAAATCGAAATGTACAATCAAGAGAATTCAGTTTATTTGTCATATGAAAAAAGGTGAGAGATTTTTCCATTAAAATTTGAAAAATATACTTTATTAAGCATATTATTTGATAGGCTGTGTTCCAGGAAGTTATCTATAACTTGTTCATGTATTTCTGAATATATATATTTTATGCTTTCAGGGCTGAAACTTTAGCGGTTGAAATCAAAGAGTTTCAAGGACAGCTAGCAGATTACAACATGGTATTGGCTTTTTCTGAGAGAATTTCCTTTGAATATTTTAATATATATTATTTTCAGTACCAAATAACTAATGAATACATGCTTATTGTGAAACAATTAAACCATAAAACATACCAAGTAATTTGCTTTTAGTAGATAACCTGTTCAAATTCTGGCTCCACAGCTAAATTTCCTTATTTCTAATATATGGACAATCTACTTCCTAGAGCAGTTTTGAAAATTAAGTTAGTTAATGCAGATAACCTGGGAAAATAGTGTCTGACACAAGTCAAATACTCTGAAATGTTCAGTGTTGTTAGCATTGCTTAACTTTTGAAGTAGGTTTGTTAGTGTTCTGTCTGATTTTGCTCTGTTAGCTTTTGTCTATTTTTAAAATACCAAGAAAATCTTTTTATGTTTTCACTGGTATATATTTATAAATCTGCTAACACCTGCTATCCCTGGAAAAGAGACAGATCAGCCCCAAGCATTTGCCTCCTCCAAGTCCTTCTTTATGGAGCCCAATGGCTTAATGAGGAACCAGGACAGGAACTGGGGTTTGAATCTACAGTTGCGGAGGGAGAAAACTGTGGCCGTCCCCTTCCAGAAAGATCTAGAGCCTTGGAAACCATATGGGGAAGTTTTATTCTTCCCTAGAACGGGTCAACTTCAGGGCAGTTTTTGTTTGTTTGTTTTGCGTAGCTTTGTTTTTTGGTAGCTTAAAGATTAAGTGCTTGGCTGTTTACTGAAAAGGTAATAATACAAATGCGCTGGTGGCTCCAGAGGAGAAAAGACCTGGTGATCTGCTCCCATCAATATTACAACCTAGGGATTCCTACGGAGCAGTTCCACTGTCGGGTAGGCTCACTCAGTCAAAGTACTCAGACTGCTCACCAGCACACAACAACCAGCCTTTCTTTACAAGCTCAGAGCGGGACAGAGTTCCTTTATAGGACAAGAAGTTCATTACTACTCACTTTTCCACCCCCAAAATGTAGTCGTTTATTGATAGCCAAGTGCATAGTGATTGCTACTAAGGTAGTGTTTGTTTTATCCTAGAACAAAAAATACTTAGAACTATTCATGCTTAACATATATGACTAGACCATTATTTGTAAGATTGCATATATAAGTTTAAATTATAGAGAAAATTTATAAAGAATAACAACAGTTTTCATATATATTTTTTTAAGTTGGTGGATAAACTTAATACCAATACTGAGATGGAAGAAGTAATGAATGATTACAACATGGTAAGAAAATGTATCAATATAAACAGTAGATCTATATAACTCATAGCCTTTAAAACCAGCCATTTACATCTAGAACCAGTTTGATCAAACCACATGAGTCTTAGATATGGTTTTCCTGTGATCTGAACTACCACTCATAATTGATTTTGTGTAGTTTCTCTTTTAAAACCCCTTTTTGTTCGTGGCCTCTCCCAGGTGATTGGTTTTGTGTCTGTCTCCCAAGCTGTGGTTGACCTGGTCGCACGCCCGGCTTTAGTCAAGCAGTGCTGTCGACAGGTCCCTGAATGTACATTCATTCACGATATTTGCACAGGTGGAGCTGAGTTCTCTAGTTTTCATAAAAGAAAAGTAACATGCTATATATAATACTAATTTGGGGTTGATAAATGAAGATTTATATTCCTCAGCTTAGATTATTTGGTATTAAGGAATAAAAGGTGTTAATAGCTAACCTACTTTTATTATAAATCTTTGAAAGAACGATGTCTATAAAAGAAAAAATAATGTAACTCATGTAGTTTATTTATTTACATGATCAGAGACAATTTTATGAAATAGTATTTATAAAATGACTCTTCGAAGTTTTGGATCTAAAAAGCTTATTTAAGTAATTAAATTATTTTAGCTTCAGCCCACAGGAGGATTCATTAATTATGAAAATGGCATTTTAAGTGCCAGATGAAAAAGTCAAAACCCTTTTTTGTCTATTGTTAGTAATTAGGGACAGACCAAAAGTTTAGGCTAGATAGCACAGGTTGAAACAATTAGGAATACTCTGGTAAAATCTTGAATAGTTTGAGAATAAGGCTTTATTGGGTCTGAGTTAAAGATAATTAATAATCAAGTATTTATTGAACACCCAACAAATTCTTGAAATGGTGCTTGCATAAATTAGCATTATATATATTATATATAGTGACTTATTGGTGGGTAGTGGATTAAAGTGTATAGTGGATTATTTGAGAGATCACTGAAGAACAATTAATATTTTTGGAGTGAAATTATAATGCATGTGAAAAATACTATATCATTTTATTGGGTGTTAAAGATGTCTTCGTGTGTTTATAATGTCTGCATTTTTTAAAAGAAACTGCATATGTCATTAGGATTAGTGTAATAATCTCCCAGTTGGTTCAGAACTAGAATAACCTTTAACGAGTGTTTTTGGTTTAATGTTTTATCTTTTTTTAATCATTAACTTATGTGGTTAACTGTCTATTCAGCTTAAAGCTCAAAATGACCGGGAAACACAAAGTATGGATATCATATTTACTGAAAGACAAGCGTAAGTACAATCTATTAAGGAATCAAACATAACCTTAAGTATTTTTATATAGATTAACTTCTGAACGACTTACTCACTTACCAATTTTCTTAACTATTTTGCCTTTTTTAAATCCGATAAGTTGGACTGTTCAACACATATTTTATTGTTTACATCTCTATTATCTTTATTGGTCTTTAAGTACCTAAACGAATAAAACTTCAGAGAATATATGAATAGGATTTCTGCTTTTGGAGCTTAATTGTTAAGATGGATAAGAATACTTGTTTCTCTACCACTTGATGTTTAACCTGGGCATTTTAATGAAATAGAATTGTTAGATTTTAGTCCACATTAAAAAAAATCACATTATTAGTTGATGATGTGTTTATATCATCGCATTCACACTGGTACTTAGTAGTTAGATTGTAATGAATTATGATATTTTAGTCTGAATCTAAAGAAGATTATATTATTACTCAGTGGTCAAGTTACATCATCTAATGTGCATTTACATTTAGTAGTTATATTAGCAACCTAAGTCATAGATGTAACTCTTAGGTGCGTCTTTATATACAACCTAACTAAGAGGAGCCCTGGTGGTGCAGCGGTTACATGTTGGGCTGTGATCTGCACACTGGCCGTTTGAAACCACCAGCGGTTCTGGGGAAGCAGGGCGGCTTTCTCCTCCTGTAAAGTGACAGTCTCAGACACCCACAGGGGTGTCTGAGTGAGTCAGCATCGACCGGATGGCAGTGAGTGAGTGTGAGTGACTAAGCCCACCAACTAGACTGAACTTTGGTAATAGAAGAAACATTGCAGTGGCAGTAAGGCCTAAACATTAGATTCATGTAGTTAGGATAGTTATTTTTCAGCAGCTCTTTGACTTTAAGTAAAAACAAGCAATGCAAGCACATATAAATGATGAGCTATTGTATAAACACCCATACATGCCACACTTTTTGGTCCAAACATTTCTGAGTAAGAGTAATAATTTACCAAAATTAACTTAATTTCATAATATTAAATATACTGTCTTGTTCCTTTGCATATTCAATAAATATTTGAAGATGCTGATATACAGTGCTACAAAAGTTAAATGATAAATGTTATAATTTATCTGTTGATTAAAAATGAAATCTTTTCCCCATTGATCACTTGATGGTATTAAGCAGTCTTGTCTTAAAAATTGAAAATGTGAGAAGTCTCTTTCCTATTACAAAGACATTCTATTCATGCTGATTAAACTCTTATTTAATGACTTTTCTTTTGTTGTTGTTTTGTTCTGGTTTTAAACCATTTAACACAGCTGCAACACTTTAATACAGTTCCTCATGTTGTGGTGACACCCAACCATAACATTATTTTCATTGTTACTTCTTAACTGGAATTTTGCTACTGTTATGAATAATAATGTAAACATCCCATATGCAGTATGTTTCTTCATTGTTACAAATTGAACATAATTAAAGCATAGTGATTAATCACAAAAACAATATGTAATTATATATTGTGAAATATTTATTTTTAATTACAAATAAATGAAATTTTGTCTTGAAGCGTGGTGTAGCATGGGTAACAGTCTTAATATAACAATAGTAAACTACATTGCTCTATTTTGCGACAGTATGCATAAAAAGCCAACGTCAGTGCAAAGGTTGAGATAGCTTCTTTCTCACCAGATCAGCATATCTCATGGACCCTTCTGGAGACAGATAGAGGAGTGGTGTCCAGTTCGTAAGACCATTGGAAATAAATGTTTTCTGATGGTCTAAGGTGACCCCTGTGAAAGGGTCATTTGCCCCCAAAGGGGGTCAGGGCTCACAGATTGAGAACCGCTGATTTAGCAGATATGTTGTCTCTGTGGGTTAGAACTGACACAATGGCAGTGAGTTTGGTTTTACACACAAGAAACTCCACCAGGGTAGGAGGCCTGTTCCGCTTGATCCAGGGCAATGTAACTGAGAGGAATTACTAAAACCCAAATGAAGGCTGAACATGATAGTGGGACAAGAGAAAAGTAAAAGGAAATAGGGGAAAGAACTAGGAGGCAAAGGACATTTATAGACGTCTAAATACAGGCATGTACATATGTAAATATATTTATATATGACGATGGGGAAATAGCTCTATGTGCATATATTTATAGGACTAGTATTTAGGCAGCAGATGGACATTGGGCTTCTATTCAAGTACTCCCTTCATGCAAAAACACTTTGTTTTATTAAACTGGCATTCTGTGATGCTCACCTTCCCAACACAATTGCTGAAGACAAAGTGGGTGCATAAGCAAATGTGGTGAAGAAAGCTGATGGTGCCCGGCTATCAAAAGATATAGCTTGTGGGGTCTTAAAGGCTTGAAGGTAAACAAGCAGCCATCTAGCTCAGAAGCAACAAAGCCCACATGGAAGAAGCACACCAGCCTGTGTGAACACAAGGTGTCGATAGGATCAGGTATCAGGCATCAAAGAACAAAACATCATATCACTGAATGAGGGGGAGTGCAGAGTGGAGACCCAACTGCACATCCCCTTACAGAAGAGTTGCAGGGGAGACATGAGCCAGTTAGGGTGCAGTATAGCGCCGATGAAACATATAACTTTCCTCTAATTCTCTAAAGCTTCCAACCCCCCCTCCCCACTATCATGATCCCAGTTCTACCTTACAAATCTGGCTAGACAAGAGGATGTACACTGGTGCAGATGAGAGCTGGAAACACAGGGAATCCAGGACAGATAAAACCCCTCAGGACCAATAATGAGAGCAGCCATACCAGGAGGGTAAGGGCAAGGTAGGGGAAAAAGGGGGAGCGGATCATAGGGATCTACATATAACCCCCTCCCTGAGGGATAGACAACAGAAAAGTGTGAAGGGAGACATTGGGCAGTGTAAGACATGAAAAAATAATAATTTATCAATTATCAAGGGTTCGTGGGGGGGTGGGTGGTGATGAGCTGATACAAAGGGCCCAAGTAAAAAGAAAATGTTTTGAGAATGATGATGGCAACATATGTACAAATGTGCTTGATACAATGGATGGATGGATGGATTGTGATGAGTTGTATGAGGCCCCAATAAAATGATTTAAAAAAGAAAAGATAACTCCACCAGGTACTCAAGATATGAAAAATACTTAAGTCATAATCCCTCGAAGACTGTGGGGACTTTAGAACATTTAAAGCCTCATTTAGGTCATGTTAGATAATATCCAGGCCAGAGTATAAATAGGATAGGTATATGTTTTACAGATTTTTCATCCAAAAAGATAATTCCTATGTTGTAAAATGTAAGATTGTCATAGATATTTATGTTTACCGGTTCTTTTGATGAAAGACCATTTCTTAAAATATGGTAACTTAAAAAAAAATAAAAAAAAAATAAAAAAATAAATCAGCCATCACACACACAAAAAATATGGTAACTTGTCCTGAAAATGTCACCAAATATTTCAGTACTTAATCTATATAGATTTTCATTGAAACCCTGTAAGTAAAATAGGTTTTTCTAACTTTTCCAAGTAGAAATTTGAACAAAGGTTATTTTTAGGATACTTATTTTTACATGCAGTAGGAGGAAAGACTTGCTTCATGTGTTAACCAGATGACCAGCATCTTAACAGATCAAGGATCCACTTTGACTTTAAACATTCATAGGGAGCAGGAAGGGCAGGCATATAAAAGGTGTGCTCTCATTCGCTTTTAGTACCACCACTCAACGTATAATGTGGCACATCTATTCACAACAAGCTGATTACATTGAATACAGCCTGGGATCTTACTACAATAGTACTAAGAAACCTGACTTTAATTCAGTTTCATGCATTATTTTGAATGAAGTGTTTGGTTGTTTGGTTTTTGATGTTTGGTTAAAATATGTTTTTACAACATATGTAATGATTTGGTTTTTCTTTGTTTAGTCAGATATTTATCTTGAATACCCATTCTAAGTATAGATGTATAAAAGGCTTTGCATATATCGGTATATTTAGCCTTTGGCCATTTATAATTTTATTTCATTTTATTACACTTCTTAATGGGAATACTTGATGTTTAATCAGGAGATTATATTACAGAAATATAGAGCATTTAGGAAAAGATGTCTTTGTGCTTTTTCAGTTAACTCATTCTTGTAAGATATGTTGATACAGAACAATAAATTATAATTGGTATTATTCATTAGGAAGTTTTAGACTAATAAAGTTTCAGTTTATGTGCATTATTGACAATATGCTCCTATAAACAGAAGCAAATACACATTATAAATAAATGAGTCTATTTCTTCATGGCACAGGACACATCATCCTGAGCAGTTTTCATTTTCCCTCAGTGGACTTTGAACAGAATTTATTATTTACGTGACTTTAAAAGTAAGTGTTCTACATATTAAGATAAATGTACGTATTTTAGTCTCTTCCAAGATATCAACTAAACACTCATTTAGAAAACATTTTTATGGAGAAATGTGAACATACAGGAAAATAAAATGGCAATGTTATACTTCAACTTCCTCATCTTCCAGCTCTACGAACCATTAGCTCTGCACACACCTCTAGTCCCTGTTCTCCACTCTGTTATGATGCATAAAATCCTAGGCATCCAGTTATTTCATCCGTTAACATAATGGATAAATACACTCATTTCCCCATGAGTGGACAGTAAAATACAGAATCTGCAACAGTTTGGGATTTTTGTGTGTTTTTCTTTAAATCAGTTTATTAGGGGCTTTTACATCTCTTTTAACAATCCATGCATGCATTATGTCAAGCACATTTGTACATATGTTTTCATCATCCTTTTCAAAACATTTTCTTTGTGCTTGAACCCCTGGTATCAGTTCCTCATTTTTTTCCCTCTCCCCCACACCCTCTCTCCCTCATGAACCCTTGATAATTTATAAATTATTATTATTTTCATATCTTAAACCGGCCGCTGTTTTGTTTCACCCACATTTCTGCTGTTACTCTCCTGGGGGAGGAGGCCTTATACATCCATCATTGTGATCGGTTTCCCCTTTCTTGCTCCAGCTTCCCTCTACCCTCATGGTATCGCTACTCCCATTTTTGTTCCTGAAGGGTTTGTCTCCCTGGATTCCTTGCATCAAAAGCTCTTACCTGTACCACTCACTGTACATGCTCTGGTCTAGCCAAATTTGTAAGGTAGAACTGGGGTCATGATAGTGGGAGGTGGAAGCATTAAAGAACTAGAGGAATATTGTATGTTTTGTCGGTGCTATGCTGCATCCTGGCTGGCTTGTCCCTTCCTTATGAGCCTTCTGTGAGGGGATGTCCAATTGTTTACAGATGGGCTATGGGCTCCACTCCACCCCCACGCCCCTTGTTCGCATCGATGTGATTGTTAGTGCTACTGTCATTGTTAAATTGGTTAAATTATGATTACAGCCACTATGATTATAAGAAACTGACAAATATACTTTACATCACTCTCGTTATATCTTTGGACCATTGTGCTATAAGCTCTTAGAATGTGTACTTTGAAGAAAAGTTATTATTGTCAAGGAAGTCTTGAAAATTCTTCATACTTTACTCTTGAAGAATCTGAGAGCAGTCTAACTTGGTAAACACTCAGGAGAATCTTCTAGTACAGAGTCATTTCCACTTTACTTAAATCCAGCGTTTCCTACACAGATTTAACCGCAGACCTTGTTTTACATGCTTGTTTTTCTTTTTTTCTAAAATACTTCTAGATGTCTTTGAGGAACATTGTGTTCTAGAAAATAATATGGGAAAATCTGCTCCACCTAGTCCCACATAGCTGTCCATGGACCAACTGAAGATTCTTCTGTGCTAGCCTAGGCCCATTTTTATTTAAAAAAAATCTCTCAGAGAAAAGGAAAAATAACAGTACTTTTTAAAAACAATGGTAATTCTGATACCCACTTTGAAAGCCCCCACCTTATCCTATTGTGTCAATCATGCATTATGGTGATAGGCTGTCTTTATAACCAGATTAGTAGTAACTTATTAGGGACTGGGTCTGCATGTTGTGACTGGGCTTTAAACAGCTTCTGAATTTTAAGGAGACTTATTTGCTAATTCAGAAAGCATATTTTAAAGAAGTATTATTCACTCATACTGTGAACATAAAATTAATCTTGGCATATTGTCTGCTTAACTTATCACCATTCCTTACTTTGATTCAGAATGATATAAGTTCAGCTGCCCCCCATTTTATTTTTGATTTTTACTGATTGGAGTTTCGGTATAATTGAAGATGTAGTCCATTCAAATGTCTGGGTTAATATGAGAATTTGTTTGTTTGAATTAATCAGTACCTCACATTTTTTTCCCCTGCTAGTACAGTGGTCCTCAACCTTCCTAATGTTACTACCCTTTAATACAGTTTCTCACGTTGTGGTGGCCCCCAACCATAAAATTATTTTCGTTGCTACTTCATTACTGTAATTTTACTACTGTTATGAATTGGGCGACCCCTGTGAAAGGGTCGTGCAACCCCCAAAGGGGTTGAGACCCACAGGCTGAGGACCACTGTTCTAGTATGTGCAATCATGTAAGTATCACTGAGATTAATGCCAGTACTGTAGACTAACCATGTAACTATTAGCTACTGAGGAGTGTTACTTTTGTATTTCAACCTGTTTGTTCAAAACCATTTTTAAAAAGCACTATTTTATGATACTGATGTATATCACAGTGAATATGAATGTATTCACTATAGTTGTGGTATGTCGCATAAGAATCTCCATATCTAAACTGATTGGACTGACAATATTTTTTTAAAGAATCAAACATTAAAGAAAATTAATTTTCCTTCTGTAATTCATGGGTATCTATATATTTGTCTTCAATGAATCCATCATCGTCTACTACAAATGAATGTAGTTGTTCAAATATCACTGTAGTTTCTTCTTCTGGTGTCTGTGGAAGGTAGCTCATATTGCCAGTAAAACCATCTTCATAGTTTTCTGCTTCATGTTCTTCCAGGCGATGGTGATGATAACTGAGCAGCATACTGTACCATATTGGGCATTTGATAGCAATAAAAATAAGGAGTGACGTCGCCAATACGGTGACAATAACACCTACAAGAAAAGCCCAACTTTTTCCAATGCGTTCATGTTCTAAATAAAATACCAAGAGAGAGAAAGAGGTGTTGATTCTGTTATATTCACAAACAAAATAATAGCATATCTTAATGGGAGGCTAAGTAAAAAAATGATTGCTACAAAATCCTAGAAGCTTTCATTAACCAAAAATATCGTGTTGTGAAACGATTGTTTCATCCTCTAGCCGCTATCTAGTTCTGTGCACTTCTGAAGGTGGTCATTCTGGCTCTCTAACCCTCTTTTGAAGAATCTTGAGCTCTGACGTCAAAACGACAGATTTGGCATCCTCAAGAGACCCAAAGCGTGTTCCTTTCTTGAAGTTTGGGGAACAAAAGAAAGTCTAAAGGGCCATGTCGTGGACTGTTTGATGGATAGCAGAAGATTTCCCAAGGAAATTCTGAGACAGTCCTTGCTACCCTTGAAGAGTGAGCAGGTGCATTGTTGTGATGGAAAAAATTCCTTGGCACAAATTTCCTGGCCTTTTCTGCACCAGTGTTGTTTTCAGTTTTCTTAAAGCCTGTTCACAATAAGTCCCTATGATTTCCCAGCATCCAGCTGTCAATTACCCCCTTTGGATTCCCACAAAACAGCCTCTATAACCTGAGCTGACCGCTCTGCCTTTAACTGAACTGGCCTACAGATCCCCTTGGAAGCAGCCGTTTTGATGGACCTTTCTTTGGAAGGCACCCTCATGAGACCAAGACAAGTGTACTACTGAGAGAACTGGCCTGCAGCCACCCGTCGATTTCAGAGACATGATTAAATATGTTTGAATATGCCCGAGCACTGCCTGGCCTGCTTGTACTTAACGCTCGTATATACTAAAATCATGGCAAAGAATATACCTCACAATTTTCTCTAGGTGAAAGTTATTACAGCAACAGTAAATGTATTTCATAGGGTAGTAAAAGAATGCCCTTTCATTTTCCCTTTTACTTAGGACATTTTTAATGATTTATAATGGTTAAGTCTGGCTGGATTAGTTAAACCTAAGGCTCAAAGAAGTTAGATGGCTTGCACAATGGCATTTGGTTGGTAACTAGCAGAGTCTAGTGGGAAACCCAGTATTTTATAACTTTTGTTAAGATGAGGATTTGTTCTTTTACTCTAGACATTTAAATTGAAAATGAGAGCTACCTTAGTTTATTTAGTGTATGATACCTTCTGTAATATTTTTATTTGAAACCAGCACATTACCTGGATTGGTTGTGGAGTTCAAAGGAGAATTAAATGTTGAATTGCTAACAGACATAAAATTCTCATAAAGATTTTCAGTTACAACTGAAGAAAATTTTAAGCGACATTCAGCTTGATAAGGAACTGTTTTAATACTGTAACTCCTTGAGAGATCAGGACTGCTACACATGGTGATGTTTTCATGTTCTAAAGAATCAGAAAAAAATATTGAACATATAGCAAATTAGAATAATTGCCAATTTTTTGGTAATTCCTAGTGTTTTGTTTTGGACCAAGCTTATCTACAAAAATTTGATTCATTGCCATCAAGTTGGTTCCGATATCTCCTGACCCTGTAGGACAGAATAAAACTGTCCCTGTGGGTTTCTGAGCCTGTACATCTGTATGAGTTGAGAGCCACCTCTTTCTCCCACACAGCGACTGGTGGTTCTGAACTGCTGGCCTTGTGGTTAGTAGCCCAATGTGTAACCAGCTGTCCCAGCAGGGACCCTCTTATTTCTCACTCTTAAAGGTATTCTAAGAAAGAAACTCTTGTATCTTCCTAGCACAACAATTAAGACAGTTATTCCTGTTTATTACATGATTTTATAGATACCTGTTTGTATTAGTATTTTATGAGGTAAACTATGGCCAAAATCTGGAGTAAAACGGTGGTTAAAATCAGGCAGAGCATCGTTTACAATTAACAAGTCCCCCCTCCGGCCCCCCCCCAAACCAAAAGAGAAACAGTGCCACGGAAAATGCTACACACCATGTGTAGCAATCCTACATAGGGTTTCCAATGCTTTAAATGTTTGGGGGAACAGATAACCTCATTTAGAGATCGCAGTTAACAAAGCAAGGCTCTCTCTGGCAGGAGATTCTAATAGGAAAAGCACCAACAGAAAAAACAGTAAAACTTTGTACGTCATACATGAAGTGAGGAAGTCATTTCCCCTATATAGGATGGGTTTCTTTTTTTCCTATCTGGGGAGAGAGGAGAGCATCTATTCAGCCACTCCTTGTTTGTGTTTCTCCATGTCTCCTATAAATAATAGATTCCTTGTCTTAAAAACAGGAAATGAGAGATTCTTCTGCAGTGGAGCAACCTAACGTGAATCACATTTGGGTTCTAACTTAATTAAGACAGCTTACCTAGTGTCACATTTGATGTATTCAACCAGCTCTGCAAAGTGAAGAGTCTGCAAGAGCAGTCCCATGGATTTCCGTATAAGATTATTAATTCCAGATGAAATACTTGTGGAACTTCCAAAGAGCTTATCAAATTGCCTTGCAGGTTCAGAAGTGCCAGCTTTTTGAGAGGCACAAACGTACCAGGATCCAGTTGAGTGATTTGGTTTTGGCAGAGATGTAACTGCTTCAGTTTTTTCAAGCCTACAAAGGCTCCCCGCTGGATTACTGAGATGGCGTTTCTACAGATATTTAAAATTTCTAGATTGGAGAGGTTACCAAAACTGTTGTTGTGTAAAGCAATGACATTGTTTTCAATTAAATAGAGCTCAATGAGTAAAACATACATCTGTAGAACCTTTCTGTCTCTAGCATCTAAAGTCACTTGGTTATAACTGAGATCAAGTATAATAACATCTTTATCGATATCCGCTGGAATCGAAGAATGGTTTTGTCCAGTGAAATTGAATCTGACTTCCTAAAAAGAGAACAAAACTAGAAATGAATTAAGTAGGTAACATGTTTATGGAATTCTCCAAAATTGCTTATCCAGGCACTGAGATATAGGGATGAAATAGTTTTGAAGAAAAATCTTTAATCTCTTGATATTATAATATGATGAAAATAGAGTCAATATTTTTCTTCCTTCTGTTGAAATGTTATAGGTTAAGGAAATTCTGGTGTATACATCCAAATGAAGAGCTTCTAATTTGCCACACAGATACCTTCTAGATATTAACATAATCATTACAGACAGAATTTGTCATTTATACATATCTACAGTATATGTGTGTGTAAATAAATGGTTAATAATAATTCTGCTAACTTGTGATCCCGGTGCGCAGGAGTAACATTAATTGTGAGGAAATTATTTTAAAATACACAATTTTTAAAAATCAGTAGAGCCAATGCTTTACCCAAGGTTATGCTAAATATTTTAAATATAATACCCTAATGTGTAGGTCTATGAGGTTAACAGCCCAAGTTTTGGTGTTTATAATAGAAATATTTACTTTAAAACAAAAGCTGACCCATAGATTGAATGAAAGAACCAGACAACATCTATATCCTATGTGGTTATAGTTCCAAAGCTTTGCTTTTACATTTGACATGCCACCAGTAAAACAAACACTGCAGCATAACTTATTACAGTGTCTCACATGTAAATATCTTTTACAAATTGTTTTTACAATGGAGGGTATCATTTCATGCCTTGAAACTAATGCCTAAGTTTATACTGAAATGTACAGACTTCAGACAATTTTCCTTGAATTAGAATCTGGCTCAGAGATCTGAGTTTTGATTCTGGTCATGTACAGCTAACCGAAGAGTTTTGATAGCTCAGATTCTCTTTGCTTTCTGCGTTGCTATGGGATATCTTTCTAAATGTACACAGTGCTTCATTTTTGGCCATGTTTTTATTTACTGGATTTGTAAAGACTTACTGTTTGAGAAGCCTGGCTTTCGTCGGATAATAATATCATGGAGAAGGGCCAAAGGATCACACTGTATGTAATTTTCATATTGCTGGTCTGATAGAAAAGAGATTATTTCATCTCAAGAGGAGATTAGAGCTTTAGCAATTACTAATAACATTTTTATTCTGGGGAAAATGCTGCCCTGTTGGTCTCATACGGTTGATCTTATGAAGACTCCATTGTTTATAGGTGTTAATTGTTCACTTACAGACCTATCTATGTTAAAGCAGTTTTAAGTTTAAATTTTAGGAGTTTTTGGCTATTTTTTATATGATGTATGCGTTATAAAATAAAAGGTTCTGTAGTTATTTGGGTATTGCCATAGAAAATGTATGTGTGGTTTTTTCATTGAATATTAGATATTTTAGCCAGAACTCAGTGTGTTTAAAGTATCATGTTAATAATTTACAGTTAGATTTACTCCTTAATATTTACAGACTTCTTAAATTCTTAAAACTTTTATAATAGAAAATATTAAGAAAAAACAAAAGTTAGGAAAAACTAAATGCCCAGCTTCAATAATTATCAATTGATAGTCAATCTTTTTTCATCTTGTAAATTTGTCTCTTATTCACTGTTACTTCAGAATGCTCTAATTTACAGTAAAAGATGAGGACCTAATGCCGGGGGCTTAAGTGGAGAGGAAATGCTTTGAGAATGATGAGGGCAATGAATGTACAAGTGCGCTTTACACAATTGATGTGTGTATGGATTGTGATAAGAGTTGTATAAGCCCCTAATAAAATGATTTTTAAAAAGATAACTTTTTTCATAAAAGTAAACTGTTTTTTGCATTACATTGTTTTTTGACTTGGGAAAAAGACTAGCCTGTGTTCCAAGTTGACAGTATTTCTGAAATGGCCTTTGTGAAGATCTAATAAATCCTGATTTTTCATAACTTATTAAAAGCTTAACTTAATTTGTTGTAAAAAATTTACAAGCTTAGATACAGTTCTTTTTAATTCCATAACAACAATGAAGCCTATAAATATATAGACTTACCTTTACTTCTTTCTTTAGCCTCTGAGACTGCTGTGCTAAAGGAATCTGCTCTGTTCCTTCCTTACCATTAAGGAAAAGTATGTCACACGATTGTATTTCACTTTGCTTCAACCTTTGTACCCAGTGAACAGGTGATTAAAAAAAGTCTAGAATTCATTAGCAAAAGATTGACTAGAAGATTAATTTCTTAAAGTCATCTTTGACATTTTAAGTGTAATATGCGGTTTGTTTAACCTTGGTGTTTCTTTATTATTCTTGACCATGTTATGTAAATACATTCACCAATTTACTTTGCAAGTTAGCATCGGAACATTGAGAATGCATATTAACAGAATATTTTATTGTCAGAGTGAATTGATGTCTCAGTCCTAAATATATTTTATATTTTGAAAGATTTCTAATTGAAAATATACCACAAGTTTTGTATTTCATTTATTTCATTCATCTTTGTTGTTTACTTGTTTTTATGACCATCACTGACAACTTCCCTGCTTTACGATAGGAGCAAAGTGCTTAGAGCGTTAAAAGACCAGAGAGTTGTCCACTACTACGTGGGCTTAGGAAATCAGTAAACTTCCTTGTATTGCAAGTTCCCTCCTGTCAAGTGGAAGACTGTACAGAATTAGTTCCCATCTCACTAGACTAGAAACATTACTTAGACTCATTGTTGGTAATGCTATAAAAATGTAGTTCAGAATAAGCTAGTTTCAAAAGACTAACTCTCCTGGGTCTCAGTATCCTTACTTTGTGAAACAAAGAGATTGAAACAGATGTTCTTTTCTCGCTGAAAACATTTTTAATTTTTTAAAAATCATTTTATTGGGGTGCTCATACGACTCTTATCACAATGCATACATACATCAATTGTGTTAAGCACACTTGTACATTAGTTGCCCTCATCATTCTCTAAACATTTGCTCTCTACTTGAGCCCTGGGCATCAGCTCCTCATTTTCCCCCCTCCTTCCCTGCTCCCCCCTCCCTCATGAACCCTGAGATATTTTATTATTATTGTTTTGTCATATCTTACAATGTCCGACGTCTCCCTTCACTCACTTTTCTGTTGTCTATCCCCCAGGGAGGAGGTTATATGTAGATCCTTTGTAATCGGTTTCCCCTTTCCACCCCACCTTCCCTCTACCTTCGCAGTACCTACCCTCTTATCACTGGTCCTGAAGGGATCATCTGTCCTGGATTCCCTGTGTTTCTAGTTCCTATCTGTACCAGTGTACATCCTCTGGTCTAGCCAGATTTGTAAGGTAGAATTGGGATCATGATAGTGGTGGGGTGGGGGTGGGGGAGTAGGGAAGCATTTACGAACTAGAGGAAAGTTGTATGTTTAATCGTTGCTACACTGCACCCTGACTGGCTTGTCTCCTCCCTGTGACTCTCCTAGAAATTTTTATGATCCTGTATATCATGTTAATCGAGGCAGAAACAAACATATTTCTTGTACTCTAGTAATTGAAGTTCAGAGTAATCACTGCCCAACAGTGATTAAAAAATAATAAGTTGAAATTTCAGATTGTCTATTATGTTCACTTTTTGTTTGGTGGTGTTGTGAGTTACTAGTTGGGCTGCTAACTGTAAGGTCAGCAGTTGGAAACCACCAGCCACTCTGCTGGAGAAAGATGAGGCTCTCGACTTCTGAAAAGAGTGACAATCTTGGAAACCCTCAAGGGCAGTTCTACCTGTCTTATGTCAGATGTTGTTAGTATGGAAATTTCTAAGATTACATTGTCTTATATCAGCCATAGGGTATTGGTATGTGGGATCTAGAGGACTTAGCTGGTATTATGAGAACTGTAAAAGCTGATATCTAAGAATGACAGAGCATGAATACTAGTACATCAACTGGCTTTTGAGACCTAAGAAGAATTAATGATCTTAGGACTGAAAATGTATGTCCAATAATTTTATTATTAGTAAATTTTGAAATATTTACATGGCAAATAACATACCTATTGATTGATTGATTGTATTTTTCTCTATCCTATTGATAATTGACCTTGCATGGATAAAAGAAGTGCTACATTGCTGGTATTTCTTGTGATTCTATGATAAAGGTGGTTACTTCATAATTAATTTCACCATTATTTTATTTATAATGCTGGCTCTCTCTTTAGTGAAGTTCGTTTCCAATTGTGCAGCATTAAAATAGAGCAAAAATTGGTGGAATGTTAATTTTAATTAAAGAAGTAGTAGGTGAAAGGTTAAGTGAAGCCATATTTTTCATCTAAAGTTAGCATTTTTAACCAAATTGCCCTGCAGATTTCCCGACTTCTCAGTTTACTCGGAGTGGCAATGGTTTATATGAGTTTCATGGTAAACTTCCATACCGGCGTTCATCAATCAAGGAATTGTGTGACTAAGGCACGCTCTACAGTTTATATGTATTATTTGTTATTGAGGGGACCTGAGAATTATCAAAACGTCTGAGTGCATCCACTTATGTGCAATGCCTTGAGGACTTTCTGTGATAATCTCAATGTGTTCGCTTAGTAAAACGAGATGGAGAGTAAGGATACAAAAGGACTCAGGATGGAAAAAAGAAATATGTAAAAAGTAAATCTGTGGTGATGTGTACAAGCTCCATTTTATATGGGCTGAACCAAATTTTTTTTGTACAAATAATAAGGACTTTTGAATTCAATGATGAATAACTAGTTAACTTATTAAATTGGACTGTGACTTTATAAAATTAATCGAGTTTTCCTTTCAATATAGTAAGAAAGTTATTATTATTATTAATTTCAGGAAAGAAAAACAAATTAGAAATGTGGAAGAAGAAATCGAACAGGAAAAGCAAGCAGCAGATGGCATTATTAAAAATATGTCTACTGAAAAGCAAGTGAAGTACACAGAAATGAAAACTTCAAATGAAAAATTATTGCAGGTAATAATTTCTACCATATGCCAGACATATAACAGTCTTGCTACTAAAAATGTGGTGTGAAGACTGGCACGGGTGGCACCCTTTGAGACCTTGAGCAGATCTACTTGTGAGTTTTCATGTTAGCAAGGACCTGGGATGATTCATTTGTCCAAGTTTGAGAATCATTGATCTAGAAAACTCCATTTTTTTATTCATCTTATTGACCTAGATATATTTTGACTTTTTTTAATTGCTGTTTTTTAGGGGTATGTGTCAATCATTTTTTTTATGTCATGAAGACATAATGAGAGCATTTGCATTTTTAAAGGTTTTGAATGGAAACCTTAAAAGGAATCATAGGCCCAAACTATTTACATTGTTTCTTTTCCTTTGCACCCAACAAGCAGCAAATCTTTATGGTCTAGCTCCCAATTTGAATAGTTTTTGTACCTAATTATGAATAGGGGTCAATTTGAATAAGAATGTGGAAGCTTAACAAGGGATTGCTAAGAATTGTCCCAGTGTTTAGTTATGATGGTGACTAAGTGAGATTTGAAAGTTTGTGCTTGGGTTTTCTAGAGAAACAACACCAATGACACTCATATATGCATCAAGAAGAACTGTTATATCAAGGAAGTAGAACACACAGTCACAGAGTCCCAACTCAAATCTGTGAGTCATATGCCAAGGAGACATTTCCTGACTCACCCACCTGCCAGAATAACGAGGCAGGAGGTGGGCCAGTGGAAGCAGAGTCCAGTGGAACCAGAGCAAAACACATAACAGGCTGCTGACAGCTCCCAGGGCCAGCAGTCTACATGGTGGCAGCTGGCCCAAGTACTGAGGAACCAGATGCAGGATCCAGGCCAGCAGGAGGAAGAAGAGAGATATCAAATAGACCATATAACCCTGGGGACGCATCTGGCTATGATTTGAGTGAGAGGTTAAACTCCACCCATATCTTCTTACAGGTGCAGCTAAGCTGGCACAAAACCTGATTGTCACCATGTGCCTTCATGTCTAGATGGCACAGCATTAGGCCGCTCAAATGCCAATAAGGTGTCTAGTCTCAGTTTCTCAGATAATTTAGTTTAAGTAACTTTTTATGTTAGAATTGTTAAGATACCTTAAGGCATTGCAGATTATTTTAGAAGAGCCATAATATTAATGAAATACTGTTAATCTTGCACAAGGGTAATGAATAAGTAACCTGTTCAAGGATTTTATCCCGAGAGTGCACTACATCAATTTGTATGGGTCTTATCCTTAAGAGGAATTAGATGGAAGATATGAAAACATCATTTTAAAAAATAAAAATAACCATGGCTTTAAATAATGATATTAACTTGAAGGTTCCTGGTATTTAATCGTCTTGGAATGATGGTATTTCACTTTTGTAAAAATCTGGCTTGTAAGGTTTTTCTGAAAGTGATCATGACGAGGTTTTCAGAAATGGTGAAAGAAATCGGGAAAAACCGAAATCATGAGATGCCAATAAATTCTAGGCAAAATGCAAGCTATGAAGATGTTTATAAAATATACTTTGTCTCATCCATTGAAATGCTGATAAACAGAGAATTTTCATGTGGCTTGTGTTTGTATTTGTGTACTTTTCTTCTTAGGAATTAGATACACTTCAACAACAAATAGATTCACTGAACATGAAAAAGGAGAGCCTGGAAGCTGTAAGTACAAATCAAACCAGGGCTCATATGTTACTTAGCTACAAAACAGTTCAGCTAAATAGATTGATGGAACTCAAAAAGTAAATGTTTATTTAGTAGTTTACTTACAGGTATTCAGTGATTTTTTTTTGGTATTTGGCACACAAATATCCTGCATACAATTAGATTTAAGTTATTCTGTATCTACTATATATGGTTAATTATTTTGGCAATTAACCACAAGGTTGATCATTCTAATCCACCCAGAGGTACCTCAGAATTTACTTCTGAAAGATCTGTCATTAAAACCTTAAGGAAAACAATCCCACTCTGATACACATGGGATCCCTATGAGTCAGAATCAACTCAACAGCCCTAATTTGTGGTGAACAAAATAAATAACTCCATCTCTCTGGGGCCTGCAAAAATGAATGACAATTTAAAGACACACACATAAAAGACTATAAAAATCATTGAAGAGGGAAAAAGACCAGTCATCACTTTAAGGGTGTAAATACTTTCATTTGCTTTTAAAAACAATTTTAAATTGTAGTATTAAATAATTTTAGACATAGGATTGTTAAGCATTTTTTCTTGGGGGAAGGTTGCTACACCTAGTTTACCCATCAACAGAAGTGTAATAACCTGTTCCAAGACATATAGCTTGACTTGACTTTCCTGTAAGGTCTCGCTTACACTCTTAAAGGAGTGCCTGTTGATTTGGGGTGACTTTAGCAACCTTGTTGTGTGGTAGCAACTAAATGGTCTTCTCCCTCTCCTTCCATCTGGAGAAACTGATCCCAGCTGAGGTGCGGTCTCCTCTGCCAAAGTAGCTCTTAAGTTGTACATAAAGGGGTAATACGAGTTCATAGGCACTAGGCAAGCGCTCTACCTTGTTGCTATCCAGCCCTTAGTGACCCTGGCCTTGTGCTGTAGACTACTCGGACTTTTGAATCTGCCCTTTCAAGGCGTACACCAGCCTTCATAGGCCATACCAGAAGAATTTGATGTGGAAACTCCATTAAGCAGACTGGTTTTTACCTCAAAGTTATCTTTAGCTGATTTAAGGGACTGACATACTCCCTAGGACTTACGGCTGAAATCCCCTCGTGTAAGCGGCAGATGAGAGCTATCCCAAGGTTATGGAATTGGTGGTAGCTGGACTTTGGTTCGGACCTCTCGCTTTGAGGGGGACCAATGAATGGTGGCCTGGGACTACTATTTGTTTAATATTTTATTTTATTTTTTTTGTTTAATATTTTAATGCCTTCCTTGCTTTCTTTTGGTTGGCCTGGTTCTGCCTTTGAGAATGAGTGTTATTGAAACTTTTGCCCTGTCACCAATCCCCATTGTTTCTGTAAATAGTATCTAGTCACTTAAGAGTTTAATCTGTATAAGTCACCAATTCGTGAATTGCAGTCTGAAGCTGGCCTATACTCGTGTAATTTCCTTTTCTCAACAATGTTTTAAATTCTACGCCATTGGCTACATTAATGACCCTATCAACAGAATTACCTTATGCCTAGGGCAGGGGTCGGCAAACTTTTGAGAGAAAAGAGCCAATCATGTCTCTCACAACAATTTAAAAATTATTTGAGAGCTATAAATGTATTTTTACAAACAAATGAAATCACCATTTTCTGAATAATATTCTTGAACAATTTTTAGTATGTACCTAAAGAGCTGTGTATGGCTCATGAGCCAGTTTACCAGGCCCTGCCCTAAGGGAATGGTTTATAATGTTCACGATCATAAAATGATGTCTCTAAAGTGAACCAGGAACATATATAAACCAGAGATATATGAATGGATTTTGGGCTCACCCTTAATTCTTGCCCCAGTCTAAGAACGATTAGTTCTTAATGACATGGTCCTAGATCATGGGGAAGATAGGATGCTAAAGCCAAATGTGGTGCAGAAACCAGATAGATGGTGCCTGGCTATCAGAAAGAATAATGCCTGGGATCTTAATGTCTTTTCTTCAAACAAGCAGTCATCTAAGTGCGGCGTCAACTCAATAAGCCCATGTAGAAGAAGCACATCAGCCTGTGTGAGCCAAGGATTGTACATAATAAAATCCAAATTGGAATGAATGAGTGGTATCAAAGCTTAACTCGTGCGCACCCAGTGTGCAAAAGACTGTGGATGACAGTGGAAGCCTAAAATCCATTTGCAGGGTCCGCACATGGATCGAGCCTTGGTGAATCCCCTCTGAACATAGACCAGGGATATAAATAGCTTTGCTATCAGACAGAGAGCTTTGAAAGTCAATTATTACAGATATAGTTAGGTTAAAATGTAATACCTTATCATTTGAGTGCCTTTTGGCTCATTTTAAAGTTGTTTCAGCTTTTAATATTTCTTATTGATTGAGGTTTTTCTATGTTTTACTTAGTCGTTGTCGTTGGTTTAGTTTTTTGTTTGTTTGCTTCCTGTTTCTATTTTGTTTATTTTTCTGTATTTGAAATTCAGGATAGGTAAATCTATCGAGGCAGTAACTGGAGTAATAATTGCCTAGGGGCATGGCCACGGGAGGATGGGCAGAAAATAGGGAGTTAACATCAATGAGTACAAGAAGAAAATGTTCAGAAACTGATCGTGGTTTCTTACTATGATTGAAGATTTAATTGTAGGATATGTGAATTATATGACAATAAAACTACTTAACACTAAATCAAAATAAAATTTTAAATCAAGTAAAATGAAATTTAAAACACAAGTCTCTTGTACCTCTATCGAAACCTAACTATTCTTTTTTTTTTTCAAATGTGCCGGTTTTAATGAAAGTTGTGCACAAGATATTTTACTCTTGCATCTTCTCAAGTGATTCTTCCTTATATTTGCCCTTTTCCTTTCCCACTTGACGAGCTTTGGGTTTCTGTTCCAGGATCTTTTTGCGGTCTTTGTCCAGTTTTAACCTCGTAATAACCACCTCGCTGGGGTGAATGCCCACATGGACAGTGGTGCCATTAGCTTATCTCGCTGCACCTGCCCAATGTAGATGATGTATTTCTTCCGGTAAACCAACCTAACTATTCTTGACAGTTATTGGCTGCTTATTGTGTGATTTCCAAAGTTCTTTACATACTGGTAAATCACCAGCAGGAGCTTTGTGGCTTGGTGGGCTAAACCTTGGTGTACTAATCACAAGGTTGGTAGTTCCAATCCCCCATTTGCTCTGTGGGAGAAAGAGGAGGTGCCTGGCTTCGCAAGGATGTTTGGTCTCAGGAACCCTGTAGAACAGCTCTACTCTCTCTGACAGGGTCCCTGTCAGTTGAAATCAACTTAATGGCAGTTAATTGTTTTTGTTTGCTTGTTTGTTTTGTTAATACAGCCAGCATTGTCATTTAATCTTCATAACCATCCTATAATCCTTTCTTGAGTTTACAGTTGTGTAAAACTTCAAGTGGGTTTCACATGGATTACAGCAACTAATTATCTTCATAGACCCAAAACAGTATCACGGAGTCACATCAGTTAGATGTGAATCTTAAATTATTGCATTGTATTTTGTTGTACAATAACACAGTCTTGTATACAGTAGGTTGCTTTTAGTTCTTTAGAATTAAGAGAAATGTTTCAGTTTTTAACTATAACCTTGGATTTGGCGGTTTTTGGTTTTTTTGTGTGGAGATGCCAGGGATTGAACCCGGGGCCTCATGGATTTGGGTTTTAGATGATGTCTCTCTTTGGCAGGGCTGTGGTTGTTAGGTGTTGTCAAATCACATCCAACTCATAGAAACCCTGTACCCCATCAGATGCAACACTGTCTTACCTTGCTTGTGCCAGCCTCACAATTGGTATTATGTTTGAACCCATGTGGCAGCCACTGGGTCAGTCCATGTCATTGAGGGTCTTCCTCTTTTTCACTGACCTTGTACTTTATCAAGCATAATGTCCTACAACCCTCTTAGCATCAAGCTGATTCCAATGCCTACTGACCTTGTAGTACAGAGTGGAACTGCTCCCGGGTCCCACGAGTACAAATCTCTATGGGAAGAGAGAGCATCCTCTTTCTCCCACGAAGTGGCTAGTGGTTTGATTTGCCAATGTCACAGTTAGTACCCAGTGCTCAACCTACTGTCCCATCAGAGGTAGTCAATATTGCTAGGTAAAGATGCTGCAGGTTTAAATTTGTCCTTATTATAATAAAATAAAACCTATTTGAGAGTGACTTTTTATAAAGTACTCATTGAACTTTACCTTTAATTTGTATCTTCAGGAAGTAGCACACTCCCAGGTAAAACAGGAGGCTGTATTGCTGCATGAAAAACTTTATGAGTTAGAGTCCCATCGAGACCAAATGATCGCAGAAGACAAAAGCGTGGGCTCGCCAATGGAAGAGAGAGAAAGGTTACTTAAGCAGGTGGGAAGCACACACATATGTATTTTAATATACCAGATTTGGGTAAATATTCATTTGTTTTCTTTAGAGTCTATGAATTGAATGGAAAGCTAGTAAATTATTATCTACAAAAGTGAGTAAATTGGCTTCAATTAATTAGTATGAAATATGCAACAAAAAATCTAAGTAAAAGTAATTTTTTCACATAAACTTATTTTTTGGCATACATTCTCATTTTATATTGTCTTTGTACAGCTTTTGGGCTTTTCTTTTATTTTGGATCCTTATTAGGAAAACTTGACAATCTTCCAGATTGCTCATTAAATAACTGAAGATATGCTTTTATTTTGGGCTTTGTATATGGAAAATAAATGTCTCAGGGCTAATGCATATGTAGGAAATGTTATCAGTGCCTCTGTGAAGGATATTTGATTAAAATGTCTTGTAAAGTTATAGTTTGTCACAAGGCATGTCACATATATTTGGTCGCTAAACTGAAGACTAGCTTTAGCTTTAATTTAGTTATAAGTGATAGTTAACCTATTACTTATGCTTAGGAGAACTACATTTGGGAGCAACACTAGTCAGGAATGTAAAAATAGGCATTTTAGGTTGGGTTCAATGGGGTCAGAAGACAGGAATCAATCCAAGGGTTCGGTAAGTATTGCAGTCGTTCCAGAAAGGTAGTAAAACATGTAGAACCCTTGAAGTTCCTTAGAAGGAGAACATTCCCTAAGTTCTAAGAGAACTTAGAGCTAAGCAATAATTTATCTTTTCAGGAAAGAATAATTGTTATTGTTAGTGCCATTGAGTAGCTATCGATCCTGTACGCAGCAGAACAAAACACTGCCTGATCCCGTGCCATCCTCACAGTCATTGCTAGATTGCTGCCCACTGTTGTGGTCACTGTATCAATCCATCTAATCGGGGGTCTTCCTTTGTCTCACTGGCCCGCTACTTCACCAGACACAATGTCTTCCTCCAGGGGCTGCTCCCTCCTGATAACTTGTCCTAACAATGTGAGAGGAAATCTCACCATCCTTGCTTCTAAGGAGCATTCTGGATATCTTTCTTCCAACATAGATTTGTGTGTTCTTCTGGCAGTCCATGGTAAGAAGAGTAATTATATCCCAAATATTGAATGGGACAAATGCACACTAAAAGCAGTTATTGTTTATCTAAAATTAAAATTTAACTGGGCTTTCTAAATCTGTCCTACTTGTGATGGTGGTGCATCAGCACTCAGGTGTTGATGTAACTGACTCAGGTGCGGTAGTCTGTAGGACAAACTGGCTAGGTGTGGCCACTTTTCATTGAAGGCAGGGAAGAAACTGAGAAGTTCTTAAGGAATAACTTCTATTCTTTTCGTTTCAGAGATTGGATTCTGACAAATGAATTTCAAGAACGAGACTAGAATTAATATTTTAGTACACTATGCGTTAGAAGAAAATTCTCTCTAAGTAGTCTAACATTGTTATCCTTTAATGCTACTGTATTTGTTTGCCTTTGCAGGTTAAAGAAGATAATCAGGAAATAGCCAGCATGGAGAGGCAGTAAGTACCTTTATGCAAGGGGGGCTTCAAAAAGTTTATGGAAAATGGAATGAAAAGATAATGGAAATTTTCCATGAACTTTTTGAAGCCCCCTCACACTCATTTTATATCCATTTCTCATTAAAAATTTTTTATTCTAAATGTACAAGATACACATTTGTACAATCATTCTTTCTATGTCTAACATTGATAATATTAATGCTGATGCAGCTTTCAATCTTGGCTACAGCTTTAAATAATTTTTGAAAATGTAGATAATAGTCAATGCATAATACAATTGATTTTAAGATTTTTTTAAATGTAATTTATCTTCATTTTTATATAGTTGGTTTTTAAGAAAACTTTATTTATTTATTT